AAGACCAGACACAGAGGGACTGTGAAAGCAGAGGGAAAGAGAGAGAGAAATACCCACGCTGCAGAGACAGGAAGAGCACATTGCATTAAGTATTACAAAGTGATCTTGAAATGTTTGATCTAGGATATTAGGCAATGGAAAAAAGCAAACTATGCTTTGGGAAAGGATGACAAAATCATTTTGGATTTTTGATATGGGAAATTCTCTGGTGGAAATATGAGAGCTATGCAATGGCAAGAGAAAACAAAACCTTTTAAGCTGACCATGCTCTTAGTTCATTATTACCCTCTCTGTCTTGGTACTGAACTTTAAGAGTGGATGTGCCAAATGGTTTCAAATGAGAGGCAAGGTCTAGGGTCCTCAAGGAATGGGGAAAGAAAGGAGTGTTTAGAGATAGATGTATTACTTACCTTCAGGTGGTTCGCCTGGTTCTCCTGGGGTAGAAAAAATAAAAACATGTGTAATGTTTAGGACAAGAGTCCTTCTGAATCTCAAGAGGTTTCAGAGGTGGATAAAGTAATATGTGATTGAAGGACCCAGCAGAATTACTTGAAGAATACAAGTATCCACTTGGCCAGAGGTTCATATTCACTCACAAAATCATCACATACATTTCAAAGCTTTCATAAGTGTAAGTAGAAGATATAAGAGTAATGAAGGACCCAAATATAAAATGGGTGGAAAAATTAGATGTTATTATGTTCCATCCTGTTCTCAGCACATCTGTAAACAATAGAAATATCTTTCCAAACTACCTATTTCTTCTTCTCTTCTCTCCTTGAAGATATTGGCGTGAGTAGGCTTGTGGCTAGGTCTGAGATGGCTCCTTCCTTAGAAGAAGTGAAGAGCCTTTGTGTAAAGGGGGAAATTATGTCCAGGATGTAATATTTCTTAATTTTGTGTTTTAGGTACAAATATTTTCAATACGCATTTGTCCGTTTGAATTGCTAATATTACATTTTCTTCTTTTCCTCTTTTGGTTTCTGAAATTTCACTTTTTCAAAGGTGAAAGTACAAGGAAGAGAGAGAGAGATACAAAGAAAATATGTGTGTGTAGGGGTGTGTTTGTGTGTGTGTGTGGTGTGTGTGAAAGAGAGAGAGACAGAGGGAGAGACAAAGGCAGAGAAAAAGCGAGAGAGGGACAGAGAGAAAATGATATCGATTCAGAGAAAGACCAGACACAGAGGGACTGTGAAAACACAGAGAAAGAGAGAGAGAAATACCCACGCTCCAGAGACATGAAGAGAACATTTTATTAAATATTACAAAGTGATGTTGAAATGTTTGATCTAGGATATTAGACAAGGGAAAAAAGCAAACTATGCTTTGGGAAAAGATGACAAAATCATTTTGGATTTTTGATCTGGGAAATTCTCTGGTGGAAATATGAGAGCTATGCAATGGCAAGAGAAAACAAAGCCTTTTAAGCTGACCACCCTCTTAGTTCATTATTACCCTCTCTTTCTTGGTACTGAACTTTAAGCGTGGATGTGCCAAATGGTTTCAAATGAGAGACAAGGTCTAGGGTCCTCAAGGAATGGGGAAAGAAAGGAGTGTTTAGAGATCGACATATTACTTACCTTCAGGTGGTGGACCTGGTTCTCCTGGGGTAGAAAAAATAAAAAGATGAGTGATGTTTAGGGCAAGAGTCCTTTTGAATCTCAAGAGGTTTCAGAGGTGGATAAAGTAATATGTGATCGAAGGACCCAGCGGAATTACTTGAAGAATGCAAGTATCCACTTGGCCAGAGGTTCATATTCACTCACAAAATCATCCATACATTTCAAAGCTTTCATAAGTGTAAGTAGAAGATATGAGAGAAATGAAGGACCTAAATATAAACTGGGTGGAAAAATTAGATATCATTATGTTCAGCCTGATCTCAGCACATCTGTAAACAATAGAAATATCTTTCCAAACTACCTATTTCTTCTTGTCTTCTCTCCTTCAAGATATTGGTGTGAGTAGGCTTGTGGCTAGGTCTGAGATGGCTCCTTCCTTAGAAGAAGTGAAGAGCCTTTGTGTAAAGGGGGAAATTATGCCAGGATGTAATCATTTCTTAATTTTGTGTTTTAGTACAAATATTTTCAATACGCATTTGTCCGTTTGAATTCCTAATATTACATTTCCTTCTTTTCCTCTTTTGCTTTCTGAAATTTCACTTTCAAAGGTGAAAGTACAAGGGAGAGAGAGAGATACAGAAAAATATGTGTGTGTGGTGGTGTGTGTGTGTGTGTGTGTGTGTGTGAAAGAGAGAGAGACAGAGGGAGAGAGAAAGGCAGAGAAAAAGCGAGAGAGAGACAGAGAGAAAAGATATCGATTCAGAGAAAGACCAGACACAGAGGGACTGTGAAAACACAGAGAAAGAGAGAGAGAAATACCCACGCTGCAGAGACATGAAGAGAACATTGCATTAAATATTACAAAGTGATCTTGAAATGTTTGATCTAGGATATTAGGCAATGGAAAAAAGCAAACTATGCTTTGGGAAAAGATGACAAAATCATTTTGGATTTTTGATATGGGAAATTCTCTGGTGGAAATATGAGAGCTATGCAATGGCAAGAGAAAACAAAGCCTTTTAAGCTGACCACCCTCTTAGTTCATTATTACCCTCTCTTTCTTGGTACTGAACTTTAAGCGTGGATGTGCCAAATGGTTTCAAATGAGAGACAAGGTCTAGGGTCCTCAAGGAACGGGGAAAGAAAGGAGTGTTTAGAGATCGACATATTACTTACCTTCAGGTGGTGGACCTGGTTCTCCTGGGGTAGAAAAAATAAAAAGATGAGTGATGTTTAGGGCAAGAGTCCTTTTGAATCTCAAGAGGTTTCAGAGGTGGATAAAGTAATATGTGATCAAAGGACCCAGCGGAATTACTTGAAGAATGCAAGTATCCACTTGGCCAGAGGTTCATATTCACTCACAAAATCATCACATACATTTCAAAGCTTTCATAAGTGTAAGTAGAAGATATGAGAGAAATGAAGGACCTAAATATAAAATGGGTGGAAAAATTAGATATTATTATGTTCAGCCTGATCTCAGCACATCTGTAAACAATAGAAACATCTTTCCAAACTACCTATTTCTTCTTCTCTTTTCTCCTTGAAGATATTGGTGTGAGTAGGCTTGTGGCTAGGTCTGAGATGGCTCCTTCCTTAGAAGAAGCGAAGAGCCTTTGTGTAAAGGGGGAAATTATGCCAGGATGTCATTTCTTAATTTTGTGTTTAGGTACAAATATTTTCAATACGCATTAGTCCGTTTGAATTCCTAATATTACATTCCCTTCTTTTCCTCTTTTGCTTTCTGAAATTTCACTGTTTCAAAGGTGAAAGTACAAGGGAGAGAGAGAGATACAGAGAAAATGTGTGTGTGTATGGGTGTGTGTGTGTGTGGTGTGTGTGTGTGTGTGTGTGTGTGTGAAAGAAGAGACAGAGGGTGAGAGAAAGGCAGAGAAAAGTGAGAGAGAGACAGAGAGATAAAGATATCGATTCAGAGAAAGACCAGACACAGAGGGACTGTGAAACAGAGAAGAGAGAGAGAGAAATACCACGCTGCAGAGACATGAAGAGAACATTGCATTAATATTACAAAGTGATCTTGAAATTTGATCTAGGATATTAGCAATGGAAAAAAGCAAACTATGCTTTGGGAAAGATGACAAAATCATTTTGGATTTTTGATATGGAAATTCTCTGGTGGAAAATGAGAGCTATGCAATGGCAAGAGAAAACAAACTTTTAAGCTGACCACCCTCTTAGTTCATTATTACCCTCTCTTCTTGGTACTGAAGTTTAAGATGGATGTGCCAAATGGTTTCAAATGAGAGACAAGGTCTAGGGTCCTCAAGGAAGGGGAAAGAAAGGAGTGTTTAGAGAGATGACATATTACTTACCTTCAGGTGGTTCGCCTGGTTCTCCTGGGGTAGAAAAATAAAAAGATGAATGTTTAGGGCAAGAGTCCTTGTGAATCTCAAGAGGTTTCAGAGTGATAAAGTAATATGTGATGAAGGACCCAGGGAATTACTTCAAGAATGCAAGTATCCACTTGGCCAGAGGTTCATATTCACTCACAAAATCATCCTATACATTTCAAAGCTTTCATAAGTGTAAGTAGAAGATATAAGAGAAATGAAGGACCTAAATATAAAATGGGTGGAAAAATTAGATATTATGTTCAGCCTGATCTCAGCCATCTCTAAAGAATAGAAACATCTGCCAAACTGACTATTTCTTCTGTCTTCTGTCCTTGAAGATATTGGTGTGAGTAGGTTGAGGCTAGGTCTGAGATGGATCCTTCCTTAGAAGAATTGAAGAGCCTTTGGGTAAAGGGGGAAATGATGGCCAGGATGTAAATTTCTTAATTTTGTGTTTTAGGTACAAATATTTTCAATAAGCCTTTGTCCTTTTGAATTCCTAATATTACATTTCCTTCTTTTCCTCTTTTGCTTTCTCAAATTTCACTCTTGCAGAGGTCAAAGTACAAGGAGAGAGAGAGAGAGAGAGAGAGAGAGAGGGAGGGAGGGAGGGAGAGAAACCAAGAAAAAGTGAGACGAAGACAGAGAGATAAAGATATAGATTCAGAGAAGACCAGACACAGAGGGACTGAAAAAACTGAGAGAAAGAGAGAGAGAAATACAAACAGTGCAGAGACATTAAAAGAACATTGCACCAAATATTACAAAGTGATCTTGAAATCTTTGACGTAGGATATTAGCTAATAGAAATAAGCAAACATGTGCTATGGCAAAAGATGATAAAATGGCTTTGGATTTTTGATCTGGGAAATTCTCAGTTGGGAAAATAAGACCTATGCAATGGCAAGAGAGAACAAGGCCTTTTAACCTGACCACCCTGTTATTTCATTATTACCATCTCTTTCCTGGTATTGAACTTTAAGAGTGGAAATGCCAAACTGTTTAAAATGAGAAATAAGTTGTAGGGTCCTCAAGGAAAAGGGAAAGAAGGACTCTTTACAGATAGACATTTTACTTACCTTTACTTTTCCTAGTTTGTTGCCTTGGGGCTGCTGTGGGTAGAAAAAATAAAAAGAGATGAGTAATGTTTAGGGCATGAGTCCTATGAATCTCAAGAGGTTTCAGTTCTGGATAAGGGCAATATGCGATCGAGGGCCCCAGTGGAATTCTATCAAGAGTGCCATTATCCACTTGGCCAGAAGTTCATAGTCAGTGACAAAATCATCCTATGCATTTCAATGCTTTCATAGCTGTAAGTAGAGGAGATAAGAGAAATGAGGGAACTAAATATAAAACGTGCAGAAAAATTAGATATTGTTATGTTCCACCTGATCTCAGCACATCTCTGAAAGAATAGAAACATCTTGCTAATCCACCTATTTCTTCTTGTTTTCTTTCCCTGAAGTTAGTGGTGTGAGTAGTCTTGAGGCTAGGTCTAAGATGGATCCTTCCTTAGAAGAAGTGAAGAGGCTTTGCATAAAGGGAGAAATTATGGCCAAGATGTAGCATTTCTTAATTTTGTGCTTTAGGTAGAAATATTTTGAATAGGCATTTGTCCTTTTGAGTTACTAATATTACATTTCCTTCTTTTCCTCTTCTGCTCTCTGAAATTTCACTATTTCGAAGGTCAAAGTAGAAGGGAGGGACAGAGATAGAGAGAAAAGGGGTGTGTGTGTGTGTGTGTGTGTGTGTGTGTGTGTGTGTGTGTGTGAGAGAGAGAGAGAGAGAGAGAGAGAGAGAGAGACAGAGAGAGACAGAGAGAGACAGAGAGAGAGAGAGAGAGAGAGAGAGAGAGAGAGAGAGAGAGAAAGAGAGACAGAAAAACAGAGCTACAGTGACAGAGAGATAAAGATACAGATTCAGAGAAAGACCAGACACAGAGGGACTGTGAAAAACAGAGAAAGAGAGAGAGAGAAGGAGAGACAGAAAAAGAGAGAAAGAGACAGAGAAATAGAGACAAACCATTAGGGCCAAGACAGAGAGTGTTTAATTGAAGATGACAAAGTGGTCTTGTGAGTTGTGATCTGCATTCCCTGGTGAAAAAAGACTATGTGCTAAGGCATTTTAACTGGATTACCCTCTGTTTCTGGGTACTTATCTTTAAGACTGTAGAGGACTAAGTGGTGTATAATAAGAGACAAAGTCCAGGGGCCTCAAGAAAACAGGAAAAAAGACTTTAAGAATAGACATGTTACATTCAGGTTTCTCAGATTGTTGGCTTGAGGCTTCTGTGGGTAGAATAAAGAAAAGGAAAGAGTGATATTTAGGGCAAGAGTTCTATGAATTTCAAGAGCTTTCAGTTGTGTTTAAGGGCAATCTATATTCAAGGGTACAAATGGCATTCTATCAGGAATAGAAGCACCCTCGTCCAGAGGTTACATATCCAGTCATATAATTCAGAATTCATCCGATTGTTTTCAAAGCTGCCATAACATTAAATACAGGAAGTTTGAGAAATGAAGGAAATAGAGAGAAAAAGAATGGAACATTAAATGTTGTGTTCAGTTGGATCCTACAACATCTAGTGTCAACATGATATAAGATAGTTTATCAACTTTTAAATTCTAGGTAAATAGTGAAGATAACCATGGCAGTAGAATGAACTGAAAAAGATATATCTGGAGAACATAATTGAAGCAGTGTGACTCAAGTAGAAAAACATTATTCAATAAAAATTATTGTGTTTTTGCTAAAAGTCTGTGCCCAAATTTTTGGCATCGAGCACCTCCTCAGGCCATTGGGCTATCTAAATTAATTTTTCAAAGTTAGTTGAAGTATGCGCATGAGCCCTTTTTACTTCCCTGACAGATCTTTCACCTACTAAGGAGAAGACCACAAAAGGCAAATAAGGGAACTAATCCAAATTATTTTTCCCAGTCCAGAGTCTGAAAAAGTGACAGTAATTTGGACTTACATTTACTACTTATCTAATATTAAGGAAAGCAACAAAGTAATTAATAGAAATCAACCCAAATGTACTCCCTTTATCCAGGGACAGACACTGATTGAAATATCTTGTCAATCTTTCTATTTCTTCTTGCCCTCACTCTCTGCAGTTAGGGCTGTGATTAATTTGTGGTTAAGCCTCAGATGAGTCCATTCTTAGAAGAAGTGAAGAGGCTTTGCATAAATATGAGAAATATGGCAAGGATGCAGCATTTGTTTATTTAGCCTTTCAGAGCTAAATCTTTTGAATAGGCGGGCATTTAACCTTTCTGGTTCTTGGTACTACATTTCTTTCAAAGGATAGACAGAGACAGACAGGGAAACAGAGAGAGATATGTAGACAGAGGACAAACAGAGACAGAGAGCATTTCATTGAAGACATCAAAGTGACCTTGAAATTTTTATCCAGGAAATCCCCTGCTGGAAAAATGAGATCATATGTTATGTCAAGAGAGAATAATTAATTTTAATTTGAGCACATTCTTAGTTCATCATTACTCTTTTTTTTTTGTCTGGGTACTGATCTTGAATAGCATAAATGTCAAATGGTTTAGAATGAAAGATAACAATAACAAGGGACTAAAGTGAAAAGGAAAGAAAGACTGTTTAGATAGATATGCTACTTACGTTCAGGTTCAGCAGGTTGCTGTCTTGGGGCTTCTGTGGGTAGAAAAAAAGAAAAGGAAAGAATGATTTTTAGGGCAAGAGTCCTCTGCATCTCAAGAGTTTTCAGTTGTGGATAAGGGCAATCTGTGATTAAGAGTCCCATTGGAACTCTATCAGGAATACAAGCATCCACCTGACCAGACATTACACATCCACTTATAAAACAAAGAATTCCTAACTTCCATTTTGAAACTTTCATAACATATTAAATACTGGAGCTTTGAAAAGTGAATCAAATAGAGACAAAATTGATGGAAAATTAGACAGTAGTGTGATCAGTCAGATCTTACAATATCTATTGTGATAATAATATAAAATAATCTATCATCTCTTGAATTCTATGTGCATAATGGAGATAACCATGGAGGTAGAATCAATTGAAAAAGAGGTACCTGGAGGACATAATGCAAGCATTATGACTGAACTAGGAAAACACAATTTTGTTAATGATTTGTGACCTATTTCTTTGATATGCCCTATGCAGTAAACCTTTGGTATATCTAAATGAAACCTTCAAAGTTAATAGAAATGCGAGTTCAGCCTCTTTTGTTTCCATCACAGGTTTTTTATCTACTAATAAGAACCCAAAAGGCAAATAATGGAAACTAATCCAAGCTATTTTTCTGAGGCCTGGGTCAGAAAAAGGGATGGTAATTTGTCCTTACAAGACCTCCCTAATAGTGTAACATAAAGGAAAACAATAACAAAGGCATCAATTCAATTCACTAAGAATGTGTGACTTTTCATTGGAGTGGAACACTTTCTCAGGCCATTGCCCTACCTAAATAAATCCTTTGAAGGTATTTGAAGTATAACCTCTTCTATTTCCCTGACAGAACTTTCACCTACTAAGAAGAACAGGAAAGACACAAAATGGAAACTAATTCAAACTGTTTTTCCCAGTCTAGGGTCAGAAAAGGGGACACTAAATTGGACTGATTGACTTCATGATTTGTCTGATTCCCCACACTGGGATGCTAATCTGCAATCACCAAAAGGAAAGTAGATTGTAAGGGAAGATAAGGAACAACAAACCACAGTTTTTGTATAAAGTCGGAATTATGTTCTTGTGCAACAAGCTCTGGACTTGGTGTTGCTGTGGTTTAAAAAAAAAAGAAGGAAGAATGAAATTTAAGGCAAGAGTTTTGTAAACACCACATTTGGCCCTAGTGGATCAGGGCAAGTCATGTTAAAGTGAATGTGGTCCAATAGCATTATCTGCAGAGCACAAATTTGGATCTACATAGCCTGAGCATACCCATATCATCATTAAATAAAGAATTAACTCCACCTATTTGAAACCTACCACAGAATACTGGAAAGGGACTGGTATATGAAATTGAATGGTATCTACAGGAAATCTATCCAGAACAGAGGATTATATGTTATCCAATGAAGAAAATGGAGGAGAAATAGTTGAAAAATTGGGTATTGCTGCAGGCAGCGTAATTTCACAATATCTAATGCGGATATAATGTCAAGTAGGTAATCATGTTTTGAATTTTAGATTTACTAATTAGTATTTTGGTGTGTCAGTTTAGATTACTAATAAAGGTAACTCTGGGAAGTAGGAAGAATTGAAAAAGAAATGTTGGAAAGATGTTCAATTAAAACATGAATCATTATGAAGACCAAGAGAAGTAAAGATAAATTCCAAGGACTACAGGGAGAGTCAAAATAAATCCATAGAGGAGATGAATTAGGACTTATATTATTGAGCAGCAGGTTTCTGGCTCGGGCTGCTGTGGGTAAAGAAAAGGAACAAGTAAAATTTATAACAAAGTTCCAAAGTTCACATATATCAATCTAGGTGGGGCAAGTTATGTTCAAGTCAAGAGGATTCAATGAAATTTTATCAGAAACACAAAAATGGACCCACTTTGACAGAAGATACCTATCTCATCATAAAACTGAGAATTTGTGCTATCAAACAATACTTTAGAAGGGAGGTGTGAGATATCCTGAAGGAAATGGAGAAGAGAGGGATGGAAAATTGATTATTTGTGGAGGCCACCCATCTAATAATCTCCATTGCCGTCATGAACGAAACTTGGATCTATTTGGCCAGAGGATACATACACCATTATAAAAATGAGAATTCATCTTATCCATTCCAAACCTGTCCCAACATAAATAAGGGAATTATGAGATACAATGAAAACAAATAATGGAAAATTAATCATTTGTGGTAGCCTGATCATACCACATAGAAGTAGCATGTTGAAAAACAGATGATTAGAAGCCACAGTTGAATCAGTGTCACTAAATTACAAACTGATTTTCTATAAAACTATGAGGTGGATTTCTCTCAAATATCATGGCCTTTTTTCTTAGTGTTTAGTCAAACATAAAACCATGTTGGTTTATTGAAGGGAAGCATTCAATAGGAAGAGAAACTCCAGCACAAGCCTTGCTCATTACCCTGAGGATCACAGGACATAGTTTACTTCTACTAAGTACTGCAATAAAAAAGGAAACTAATAGAAATCAATCATAGTTGGTTTTGTCAGTGCAAACCCAGAGAAATGATGACATTTTATCGGTATTCTTTTTGTATTCTTTCACTCTTCTACATCAAATGGTTTGAGCTGTTTTGATGTTAGCTCTGAGATGGCATCTTGGTTTAGGGACTGAAGAAACTATGTATAAAGTCAAATGACTCAGATTTCTATATCTTCATGCTGTGCTTCAGAACCAAAATCTTCATGCTAGTACTGGTCCCAGATGAATTGCCAATGCAGAAGTGGCTCTCCCTCAAGGGTTGAGGTTGACTGAAAAGAATCCCCTTACTCTAAGGGTAAAAATAGAACTTTCCTGGGTGAAATTCCCTCGAATGGCTTCCCAGAATAAATAGACCAACCCAAATGGGAATTCTAAAAATTTCTCAGATGGATCCCTACAACACATATACCAGTCCTGATGGAGGTCAAAATGAAAATAATTCCAGTGGTCCCTGAAACACTTAGAGGAACCTCAAATTTCTCAAACAGATTCCTAAAACACTTTAAGGAAATCAAATAGAGGTCTGTATTCAACCCCATATAAGACAAGTCAATAACATTTATCAAGTGCTTACTATGCACCTGACATTTTGCTAATGGCTAAGGAGATAAAGGTAAGAGACAATCCATCCTCTCAAGGAGCTCATAGTGGTGGAGATAACATGCAAACAATTATGGGCAAACTATATACATGATAAATGGGAAATAATAAATACAGGGAAGGCAGTAGAATTAAAGGGGATCAGGTAAGGCTTCTGGTAGAATGTGAGATTTTAGGTGGGATTTAAAGGAAGCCAGGAACTGGAGAAGAATAAGGCTTAGTGTAGACATGATATCTGCCTTCAAGCACTTAAAGGATTGTCATATGGAAAAGGGATTAAATGTGTTCTATATGAATGTAGAGAACAGATATAGGAGCCATGGTTAAAAGTTGCAAAGAGGCCAAATGAGATTTGTTATAAGGAAAAGCTGCCTGAAGCCTAAAACTATCCAAAAGTAGAATTAGTGGACTCCAGATGTAGTGGCCTTTCCTTCATAGGAGAGCCTCAAGAAAAATTGGGATGTCTGCTTCTTAGGTAAGACCATTTTTTCAGGTCTAGGTTGAACTTTATGGCCACTGAGGTCCTTGGTTAAGTGATTCTGTCATTTAATCCAATCAAACAAACCTTTATTTATGTCCTATTTATTAGATTATTATTTAAACCAAATCTGTGATTTCATTATTATATAAAACTCCCAACAAAGGAATTCCTTCTACCACTGCAGCTTGGCATGGGGTCTGCAACACATAGCCTTCAAGAGTTGCTTGGAACCCTGAAAAGTTAAGTGATTTGCCAAGAGTTGCATAGTCAGCATGTATCATAAGCAAAATCTGAGCTGAGATTTTCCTGGCTCTGAGGCTGGCCCTTTATTCGGTATGCCATGGTCCCTCTCACTGGGGATTTTTGTGGCTGTTGAGTCATCTCAGTCATGTCCAACTTTCTGTGACAAAATGAAATTGTCCCTCAAAGAACTTATATTCCATTGGAGGAAACCCAATATGAAGCAAATAAAGACCATATACACTTAGAGAGGAGAGAGAGAGAGAGAGAGAGAGAGAGAGAGAGAGAGAGAGAGAGAGAGAGAGAACTAACAATTGAGAGATCTGGGTAGACCTTATGTAGCTACTGAGCTCTCCTTGAGGGAAGCTAGAAATTTTATAAAGATAGCCAACAACTGAGCATATGTCAGGCATGAGGAGAAAAGCAGGAGAAGAAATGTCATGAGCAGGCAATAGTTAGTCTTCCAATTTCACTGAATGAAGAATGTGAAAAGGAATGATATGAAATATGTCTAAAAAGACTGCTACAGTGAAGACATTTGAATAGAGTGTCTATCCCGTGTCCAAATTAGAGAGAAAAGTGAACAATTCAATCATCTGGGCAAATAAATATTCAAAGGTTTGTTGTCTCAGTAATTAGGTATCTGAAGGAGTGATGGAATTGTCTGTTTTTCATTTCAATATTTTGGTACACAGAAGCAAAAGTGTTCATAGTAGAACAGCAGTTACTTAAAGAAGATGTTGAGTTTAGGCTCATGTCCAGTGCTAGAGAAAGGTAATTGAAGTATGCAGAGGATGGAAAGCAATGGATAGAGCACTAGATTTGGAGTCAGGAAAACTTGAGTTTAAACTGCCTTAGACACTTAACTAGTTATTTCCAACAAAAATAATAACTAATAATTGCCAGCATTTACATAGTGCTTTAAAGTTTGCAAAGTGCTACAATATGCTATCTCATTTGATCCTTGCAATAACCTTAGAAAGCAGGTGCTATTATTATCTCCATCTTACCAAATCAACAAGAACCTCCAAACCAAAAGACACAATGACTCCAGTGTAATGAATAGGGAAACAGAGACTGAGCGACTTGCTCAGGGTCACACTACTCATATGTATGTGATGCAGGATTTGAACTCAGGTTTTCCTACCTCCAAGTCTAGGACTCTTACCCACTATACTGCCTAGGCAAGTCAGTTAAGCCCTCTCAGTTACCTTAGCCTCAGTCTTCTTATTTGTGAAGTGAGGACAATAATCGCACCTACCTCCCAAGGTTGTTGTGAAGATCACATGTGATAATATATGTAAAGGACTTTGCAAATCTTAAAGTACCATATAAATGCTAGTTTTTATTTGTAGAAGTAGTAATACTACCTCCCCCAGTTATCTAACTCTAGGAAAACTAAAGTAACTGAATCATTGAGAATGGCTTGCCCCAAGTCCTGTCATTTGACTTGAATGGTGAACCCCAAATCTCCTAATACTATCACAGTTTCCCAGTATTCCCCCACTTACCCTTGGGTGTTCCTTGAGCTGAGCTCAGGGCCAACAGGGCCACTGAGAGAAGGAGCAGGAAAATCTTGGTAGTACCCATGATGTGGATATCACCTGTGTTGGACGAGCCCAGGGCAACCTTCCTTATAAAGACCTAGATGCACAGTGTTCCCATTGAAGCTATACACTCAGTCCTTTGTCTGAGGAATTATTTTATGCCAATCAAGTCCCTTCCATCCCTGAGCTGACCTGGGTTGTGTTGAGTTTGAAGGCTGGCAGGAGCTTCTTGCAAAAAAAAAAAAAGTCACGACTACATGCGACTTGCGTAAGGTCTTTGAAATCAAAGTTTCCTTGGCAGGAAACTCTCTATTGTATGGTATGTTATGATTGCAATTATGAATAATTTTCCATCTTGTGACTTCAATTCCAGAGAGAAACATGGGCTTCTTTTCATATTATGATATCCTGTGTTACACAAGCTATCTAAATATTATTTAGCTTATGCCCCTTCACTACCCTTCTTGCAATGCCAAGAATAAGTCAGTAAGTTCAATGTACAATGGAAGGATAAAATAACAGAAATTATATCACCATACACACAAATCGTGCAAGCAAGATATTCTCATATCCTCTTCTACTAGTAGCTGCATATCTAGCATTATCAGAACTTTTTGATCCCCTAAGACACAGTTTATGTGCGACCAGGCCATCATACCATGTTTCTTCTTCACCAACATTCTAAATGATATTTCTAAAAGCACATCCACTAACTAAACTTTGTAGATTCCTAATCCATTCTTCTTACAGTTAGTATGTCTGTTCGTGCTGTTTTTCAATATCCTACTTACCAGATCCCTATTATGCTGCTTTATTTTAGGTAAAGATCTTTCCCCTTGGCTATCTCTTTCTGCATTCCTATCCCCATTCCTATTCCACTCAGCCCGTGCATACCCAAGTCCAATTTGCCTTCACTCACCCTCGCAATACTATGTCCTTCAAATTACTGTTCTATTATAAACACTTACCTAAATCAATGGTGTCAGACTCAGATAGAAATGGATCTTTGCAGGCCATATGTTGACTTGGAAAACCATAAATTAATACTACCTAAATTATCAAAATGTTTTGTCAAACATTTCCCAGTTACATTCAAATCTGGCTCAGGCAATGCTTGGAAGGTTTGCAGTTTGACATCTCTGCCCTAAATTATCAATATATTTTTGTTTTCACTTCCATTCCTAACAGAAATGTAGTTATTCTCTAAGGATGAAATATGCCTAAAAACTCTGTTCAGTGCAGGTCCCCCTCTCACCACTTCCTCCTGAGTTTCGAATCGAGGCAGAGGTATTAACATGCACAGCCTGTTTCAGATCATTACTCAGTTATCTTCACTCAAAAAAAACCTTGCATATTTTGGGTTTCTATTCTCAAAAGTAATGAATAAGCTCCTTACTGACTTCTCAAAGCAATTATTAGGGGTTGCAAAAGATCGTATACATGTATGGATGTGTGTATATATATTTGTACATATTGTATACACATATATTTATATATGTAAACTTGTAATAAACCAATAACATGTCACACGTGGTGTTTAAAAGTTATTGTTATGTGATACATATCAAACACTCAAATATTTTTGTACTAATAAAATTAATGCAGACAGAATCTGGGAAATAAATTGCCCAATGGGAAAATCTTTATGTCAAATATCACCGCTAAACACTGGCACCTAAGATAGATGGATAAAAATTGACACAAATAAATGAGTCCATTCCCAACAGATAAGTGCTTTAAGAACATAGGTTTCAAAAGAAGGATTTTGAACTAAAAAAATTATGAAAACAAGTTCCAAATCACTAATAATAAGAGAAATATGCACAACTTGGAGCAACTCGAAGCTTTTACCTCATGCAATACAATTTATCAAAAATGTCCAAAAATAGAAAAAGTCAATTTTGGAGAAAATATGGGAAGACAGGAATACTAATACAGTATTAGTATAGCTGTCGATTAGTCCTACTAGTATGGACAACAATTTAGAGTTATTAAAGAAGAATAGAAAGCTGTGTATATGTGTGTATGTGTGTGTGTGTGTGTGTGTGTGTGTGTGTAATATGTATACATATACATATACATACATAAATACATATATATATATAATATATATAGATGTCCTTTGACCCCAAGACCTTATGAATTGGCAAATACCTCAATAAACTCAAACAGAAACAAAGACTGGAAAGAAACTGAGTGTCCATCGAATGGGGGAATGACTAACCAAGCTTAGGAATACAAATATAATAAAATATTTGTGTTCATTATGAATTAAGAGACATGAGAAATTCAGAGAAATGTGGGAGTATCTGCATGTACCAATGTAAATGAAATAAATACAGCTAAAAAGAATACCCCCCGAAACCAAAATACATAATGACTACAATGTGATGAAAAAGAAAATTCACTAAAAGTAAGCTAAATCCTGGAAAAACCAACAGTGATCCCAGAGAGCAGATAATGAAAATACCCATCCTTCATCTTGGCAGAGAAAGAGGTGAGTATTAGAGCAGAAAATTGCATGCATTGTCAGAGGCAGTCTCTGTATTAGATATTTTTTTCCCTTCTATTTCTTTTTTACAAAGGAGGGTTTGATTCAGGGAGTTAGTTGAATTTGGGAAAGCACATAAAGAAAAAAAAGGGGGGCAGCTAGATGGCACAGTGGATAGAGCACCAGCCCTGGAGTCAGGAGGACCTGAGTTCAAATCTGGCATTAGACACATAATACTCACTAGCTGTGTGACTCAGGGCAAGTCACTTAACCCCAATTGCTTCATATTAAGAAAGAAAGAAAGAAAGAAAGAAAGAAAGAAAGAAAGAAAGAAAGAAAGAAAGAAAGAAAGAAAGAAAGAAAAAGGAATCAATTACATTTATTAAAAAAACCCAAGAAAGTATAAAAGTAAAGTAAGTACTTCAACAATGGGCTACAGCACACAAGCACACAACCCATTTTATTTGGTGAAAGTATACCGCTCATGTAGCATTCACTGTAAAGTCAGTGGTCTTGCATCAAGGCTGATATTGTCTCTTGTGCTTCATCCTTAAGAGTTCCTGCAAAGCTGTCTTGTGCTGCAGCTTCCTTATTTCTGAAGATACCTTCACTTTAGGATTAGTCTGACTTCTAGACCAAACATCACACAAGGTAATGATCCCTGGCTAATGGAATCTACCTAAATTTTTATTATGGCGACTCTGGTAAGGCAGTTGACAAAACTTCTAGGGAAAATCCCTTGCCAATTAATCAGATTAAGAAGGAGGAAACGCCAAAGAGGAATTCCCTCACTGGCCAAATTAATTATCAGAAAATTATAAACTCTTTAGTGATAGAATGTGTGCATTGTGTTGAGTTCATAAAACTAGTTAGTTTACCTTACCAATGCAAAGAAATGCATGTTAAACAATAGTATATGAAGTCAATTCAGGAACTATGTGAATAGTTCTAAGAGTGTTGATTAATGGGCTAATGTCAAACTACTGGGAGAATTCTACTGAAATGCCCCAGGGTCTTGCCCTTAGCCTTGTTGTGTTCAATATCATTATTCCTGACTTAAAGGCATAAAAAATTTATCCAATTTTCCCCAAATAGTTAAGGTTTGGGATCCTGTTAGGCATTGCCCTTGATAAGCCATATTTGGAGAAAACACTGGCTTTTTTGTCCAATATAACATTTGACTCATATTCAGTTTGTAGTTTACCAAAAGCCCCAGAGCATTTTTACACATTGATCAACTAGGCACACCACTCCCATCATGCATTGCTGAAGTTGATATTTTGGATCCAAATTCAGGACTTTACATTTTTTCTTTATTAAATTAAGTATTATTACAAATATTTTGTGGAGAAGTGTTCCCAAGAGAAGAACCACTTTTGATAAGATTGATTTACTTTACTTTAAATAAATAAAATTGGCTTTTCCCAGACAATAAACTGTGATTTGGGCTAGAGATTTCTAGCACTTTCTACCTATAAAGACTCATTTAGTATCCATAGCTACTAGATGTTCAATAAATATTTATTGAATGATGAAGAGACATGTTCTAGGACCCTGCCAAGAGGAACACTTTAGTTTTTTATGCCCATTCCTCTTGAGATTCTTAGAGCCTGGAGTCTATGAGGTCTGGGTGGATGTGCAGGTAACAGCAGATTATTTTTTTTAAAAAGAACACTAGGAAGAACAGGTGAAAAGAAAGAAAAAGGCAGTGGTTGTTTTGGCTGGGGCACTTTTCAAGCCACATTGCCACATTCTATCTTGCCAGGGTAGAGTAGATCCTAATTCTTCTTGTATACCTGCAACATGATGGAGCTTTGTTCTTGTTCTACTAACCAGACTGATCAGTAGAGCATGAGATGAGCCTCATATAAGGCCACTTCTGTGAGTGACTCTTCTATTCATGGTGTGGTAGGGTTGTGGGGAGAGATTATATACCATCCTGAAAGGTAAGGTCAAGGAGGTGGTTTGAGGGTCAAAATAAGAGTGATGGGTTTGTGCTCTATGAGCTTGCGCTTGTGATGCTTCTCAAGATTGTCATGCTTTTCCTAATCCAATTCAACTGTTTTACTTTCAGTTACAATAAGAAGTCTAAATGATTTGTTAACAATAACTGATTTAAGAAGATAGAGTTTCTCATGGGATGGGGGCTGGGACAACATGTCGAATCTGGGTCCTGTGGACTTAGGAGTAATAGGTAAGAAAAATAGCCCATGAATTCCTAAAGAAGCTATTTTATTTCTGTGGGCTTTCCTTGTGATTAATTTTAACTTCTTGAAAGACAAATATTACACTTTTCTCCCTTCTCTTCTAGTCTGTATTTAATAGTTCAAAGTTTTTTTCTTGTTCCTCACTGAAAGCCTTCTTGAAAATAACAACTATTTTTTCACTGTACTATGGTGAATAAAGTGCCAATTTGGTCTGCATAACATCTCATATACTATTGTAACATTACTGATCACTGTTGCTTCGTATTTTGTACATTGTGTGCAGACTGAGACCAAATAGTAGCAGAAGTGTACAACCACTGTAATGCTGGCAGGTATTAGCACCTCCTGAATTAATACTGCCTAGGGAAAGCCTTCTTCAG